TGGTGGGCGAACCACTGATCTTCGTTAGCAGCCAAGGGCTTAACCATCGTGCCACAGGGCTCCTTATGCACTTGGTGTTGATTGTCATTGTTCTTGAAGCGCGGTAGTAAACGTGCACTTAGGCTTTTGTCTCTGAGGTCTGGCAGTAACGCAGTGCGCCAGGCCTAGGGCCTCTCTCCATCTGGGCACCATTGCTGATGCAACCCGTCTTCACCAGCTCTTTTGGGAGCCAAACAAGACTCATAGTATCTACCAGTTACTGATGACTTACAGTGTCCCTTGCAGTGTGCTAAGCACTTTACATCCGGGACGACTTTATCCTGTGACACTGTCACATGCGTTCACCCAATATACAGAGCGTGAGGAAGGTCATGTTACAGGTGAGACGTATGGAGATTAGAGTGATCAGCCTTGCCCGTGACCACCCAGCTGGCAGCTGCTGGGTATAGATTCTACCCTGAGTCTGTCGGATGGTGAAAGCTGGGCTTTTAGCCACAGTGTCTGTATTTATATGCCATCTCGTACCGTCAGACTCTGCTGAGTTTGCAATCAGTGAAATGTCTGGGTGCTCTCAGGTTTTTTGGTAGATAGGCTTTTGATGTTTTTTTTTCCTTTTCCATTCATAAAGCATCATTAGAAATGATGAGATTTAATTTCTCTTTCCGTCATACACCTTATTTCTCAGAATATAACTTACGTCTCACACCCTGTCTTCATGACAAGCTGTCTGTAGTTGTCTGTGACCGTTTATGTCCTAGGGTGGTAATTGGAGGTGTGTGGTGGCAGTTTCCCCGCATCCACCAATCCACCTGGCAGCACTCTATCCATAAAGGAGCCCCTCTTCCTGTACTTTATCCATCAGGATGTTAGGAGTGAGAAAAAGAAGGAAGTGCTGGAATTTCCCTAACGGTGCGTTTTCACGTCAGCACCTGCTGATCTTATCTCCTTGCTAGATTCCAGTGGGAAGGTTCACCTCACATTAGTTTAGAAATTTAGAGAGGAGTTTTGATAATAAACCAAAATAAATTAAGTTTTGTTTTCTTTATTGATCTTTATACAGATCGTTATGACTAGACACATCCTGCAGGTAGAGAATTCATTTAGGTAATGGTGACAGTTAGTACCATTTGTAAGATCCCTCACGATGGAAGAAGGTCTTTTCAGTGCGGTCTTACGTAAAGTGTGTCCCCAGTTCTGTGTGAAGCAGGGGTGTAAAACCGGCTACCATGGAACTGGCTCTGACACACGCCCCATGTGGCGGAGCAGCACGGTGTCCGCAGGGTTGGCAGTGGCTGTTTTCTGAAGCAGGCTGCCAGAGCTTTCTCTGTTCTGAGGTGCCTCTGCGTGGACCCAAACCTCTAACCCTTTAGTTAGGTGCCGAGTGTGTTAACCATCTGCAGCGCCCGGGGACTCTAGGTGGCGTTACCTTGCCATGTTTACAGTGCGGTCATCGCTGGTAGGTGCCATGGAGTCCCATCTCCCTCACAACGACCTGTGGACGACGGAAGGAAGCCCCGCCCGGCCGTGCGCCATCCTCCCAGTCCTTGCTGTGCTTGAGCCGGCGTGGCAGCCCCCGTGTCATCCATCTTGTTGGGGGTCCTCCTCTTTGTCACTGACCTCTACTTCACCAAGTGTATCCTTCTCCAGTGCACCCCTGTGACAACATGGCTATGGTTGGAGCCGTGTCAGCCGCTTGAGAGCGAGCCTGCGGTCAAGCCTTGGTCTTCTCGCTCCATGACTGACATTCTCCCCATCATGTTACCCTCCTTCTCAGTGAGATCAATGAAGGATCTGAAGCAGCCGCCGACACTGGAGGGAGGGAACACATAATGTGTTCTCTTGGTAATTTGATAAGTAGTTGAGAGTTCAAAGTTGAATCTAATGAATTTTCTTAATCCATTGAGTGAAAAGGAGAAAATACGCAGAAAAAGATAACAAAGAACGTTTTTTTGTCTGCTTGTTTTACTTTGGCATGAAGAGAATTACTTAAGCTTATAGTACTTTAGTAAAAAAAAAGTAAGTACTCTGAAAATTGAGAATAGTATATATTACAAACCTAGATCTTGACATGGAAGAAGTCACTGAAGACATTAGGTGAAACGGCTTCTTGGTAGCAACGATCTTTGATGGTCACCAAGAATAGGCGGGTGGAGAGTGTAAGTCACTAACTAGAGAGCAGATGCAGAGGAGCAAGGGTGCAGGGGGGCGGTATCCAATCAGGAAGCACAGCACCACGTGACGGAGGCCCAGGAGGACGCTGCACGGTGCACAGAGGGAAAGACAATGCGAAACGCTACATACACAGGCCTGCACTGATGGTAATAACAAACAGTATCCACGAGTAGATACAGATGTGGAAGGCTAACGGGAGCGCGATCATGAGTACATACAGGCTTGGTGGAGGGTAGTTCTCCATATGAATTTGTTAGTGTAGTAAATACCTCCAAGAATATTGTAGAGCATTTGGGGGCAAAGTTCTGGAAAGTCTCATCTGTAACCAAACGCCTTGAGGGAATGACTCACTGGGTTTGGGGGCTCAGGACCACAAGACCTAGGGGACAGCTAGGTCAATTGGCATAACACAGTCCACAGAGACAGTGTTCTGCATCCTACTTTCGTGAGAGCAGCTGGGGTCTTAAGAGCATGCAGGCTGCCATCTAAGATGTCTCTTGGCTTCTCCCCATCTACAGCAAAGAAGAGTAAAGATGGCGTGCAGTGACTGGCTTCCTGTGGCCCTAGCCCTCATCTGCCATTTTGGGATGTACTATAAATCCTACTCCCTGTGCCTGCTCAGGGTGGGATGCATAGCGAGCCCCACCTTGTTGGAGGCACCACCCATTCTGTGATGTATCCTAAGTCCTATTCTGTAGCATGTTTAGCACAGGATGTTTCTTGAGTCCCCCTTTGCCGCAGCTCCTTTGAGGGTGTATGTGTGAATTTTCTGGGAAAGTTCCCTCTCTCTTGCTCCAATTCTGCATTTGTTTTGTCATCATCTCACCCCTGGACTTGAGACAGCAGCCATCAGCTGACCTGCTGAATTGGGTTCACCAAGCCCTGCAGCCACGGGAGTCGGGAGAGTCCTCCAGACCCACCCACAGACCTGGGACTTGCCAGCCTGCCAGCCTCCCAGCCTCCTCCTCCTCCACCACCACCACGTGAGCCATTTCCTTGGGAGTTTATGACTTCTGTGAGATGGTACAGTGAACTTCGGAACCCTAAGACGGGAGGGAGATTATTGAGGGGAGGAGTAGGAGTTGATGTCAGAGATGATGGAGTGGCACAGCAATTTGGAAAAGTCGGACATTTGGGACATCTTTAACCTCTGCCTCATAGGGATTGGCCTTGTGCTGGTCTTTCTAAAATAAATTATTCAAGCAGGAGAAAATCAAAGACTCAGGAAACAATTAGTCCAAAGGACTACTGGACCACGTGACCCACAGCCTCCACGAAATGGAGACCATAAGAACTAGATGGTGCCCGACTACCACTAAATACTGCTCTGATCAGGATCATAATAGTGGGTCCTGGACAGAGAAGGAGAAAAAAAAATGTAGAACAAAATTTATAATAATAAAAAAGACCGTAGGGTTCAACCTTCAGCCAAACAGTAGGCCCATGAAGTAATCAGTCATACCCGTGAGGAATGTACTTCTCAATACAGTCAAGCAGATGAGACCAAAGGGCAGTGTTTGCCTGAAAGTAAAGCTTAGAAGGCAGGAAGGGTCAGGAAGGAAGGACAAATGGAAATGAGGAATCCAGGGACAAAGTGGGAAGAGAGCTTTTAGGGTGTGGGAATTGCAATCGATGTCATGAAACAAAATGTGTATGAATTGTTCAATGGGAAACTGGTGTGCCCTGCAGACTTTCACCCAAACTGCAATTTAAGAAACAAATTAAAATAAATGTTATTAAAAAAAAAAAACTATAGAAAATATATTGCTATTAAGAAAATTTAAGCCACCAAGTTATTTGTGAATAAGCTGTGTGATGGTTTCCTCTGAGTGTTTTCATGGGAAAAGCATCAAGCATGGATGGATTAAAACAGCCTCGTTGAAGTTAGATATTTTTGTACCACCCAGTTGCCAGTGTTCAAGCAGTACATTTGCACTTTGTATATTTCACACACCTATGTTCTAGGTAAATAAATTCAGGGATGGGTGAGTAATGTCTGGGAGATCCTGGTTAAGTGAAGTGTATGGTGCTGCAAACTTGGAGGAGGAGGAGGCTTCACTGTGAGGAAATACAGACATTTTATCAGAGAAAGGGTTTCCTGTAATCACAGTTTAACCTGACTGGTATTCACGTGCATTTATTATTTAAGCTTAATATGATGTCAAATTCAAAATATTTATTTAAAAAGTCATTTTAAATTGTACTAATGTAACAAGGGGAAAATTTATAACTGCTCTGCTCAAAATGCTGGTTAGGTTTAAATACTAACAAGATCTCTCACTAGGTTCCAAGTGTCGAATCCTAGTTCTCTTCGGGACACTGTAATGCCATTCCTGGTATAGAAAGCAACACAATTTTGTTCAGAAAAATAAAGTATAAAACAAGTATTATGCTCTTAAATGTTACTGAGTGTTTCCGGTTCAGTTTTTAGCTTTACTTTGGAAACGATTCAGAAGAATTTTATGCTTGACTGTTTTACATGCAAAGGATATGATGAGGATAAACAGACGTTTTACGTTGATTTTCCCCCAACACCCCATAGATACAGGGAAGGTCTGTTCATCTGGGCGCTTGCTTTCCCGATATTACCAGGTTCCTGACTGGTCTGCATGCCCTCATTAGAAAGGTTTGCCAACTAGATTCTAGAGAAGCGTTTACCCAGAGACCTAAGTCGTCAGTACGCTTTGCCCGTGTGTCCTTGACGTCCATTGTTTTGTCACCGATGAATTAAGGAACAACAGAAGGCATTCTGACGTTGACTAGGTGCATTCGCCACAGCGCCCAGGCTCCTCTAACTGCCGCTGGTTCTCTGCCCTGTCTCTCCCCAGGAGTGTGGTGGTGCCGGTCAAGAAGCCGCCCCCCGGGAGCCTGGCCGTGACCGCGGTCGGAGCCGCCCCTGCAGGAAGCGGGCTGCCCACAGGCAGCACGGCCAACATATTTGCCGCTGCCGGAGCTACACCAAAAAGTATGATTAATACAACAGGTACCGGCCTCTCTCTTTTTGTGGTGCCTCATCTTTTCCTTTGTTTTCTGTGTCATCATTTTTCTGCTCGTTTGGTCTCAGAAAGCAAAATGCCCTGCCCGTGTAGGACGATGGTAAACTGGGCAAGGCTCGCGCCTTGTGACACTGTTTCCCAGGAGGGGTCCGCATTCGGGGTGCCCTCCCTTGGCGCCATTGTGGAGGACTCTGTTGGCTTTGGTGCCGAGGCTCGGGCGACATAGAACGCCCTTGATTGACGTTCAGCGTGAAATCTGAGAGTGGAACGTATCTGGGGCCCACAATCCAAAGATGACTTAAGCTCTGCAGTTTGCTTTGTGGCAAAAGCCAGTTGTGTGCAGGGTAGCAAGGTGTACTGAGCATGGGAGTGACGGAGGCCGGACTGAGGGGTGCCTACTGGCCGAACCTAGTGTCTGTTGGGCGCTGATTCCCCTCGGGGAGGGCACCGCTCCTCGCAGGTCCCTGCCGATAACCCAGAGCCGCAGCTGGATGAATGGGGCCTGTGGCCGCGAACCAGGCCGTCACTGAGTTAACTGATGAACTTGGATAGCAGAGAGTGCCATTCTCTGTCCAGCCCCTCCTAATGATTCTCAGAACATGAAATAGCAAATCACAACAAATTTTCAAAGCCTGCCTGAGATAAGCTTCTTTGTTTTTATTTTTTAATTTCCAGAAATGTTCCTGTTGGTGATTAGCTAAATAAATCCTTACCCAACTCTTTGTGATTCCATTTTAGGTATTTATACTCGGCAAGATGATCCCTGACTCCCTTCCCTGACCTAGTAGCCTTCTCCTCTCCAGCCTGTGTAGCCTTGAACCTTCCCATCTAGTGTCCTGACCTAGACCCTCCCCGTCTTTGTGAACCCTCTTGCTCTTCCTTGTGCTGTCTGTCCGTACCCCGTTATCATGCCACCTGAGTGTGACATGGCATTACCAACACAGACGTGGGGGGTAGGATGGCGAATGTCGCCTGTCAGACATGTTCATTGTAGCACAGAACTGCCATCAGTAACACCGCGTGAGAGAAGACCACAGCTTCGGGTTACATGTAGCATAAGCAGCTATTTGTGTCTGACTTGTCTGACAGCTTCATATACAGGCTTTCTTTCCAGGGCACAGTCCTGTTCTTTACACTGACTCTGCTTTTAGGAAATGGGGGGTAGGGGAAAGTGTTACTCTTCTTACTGAAATACATATTCAAAAAGTATTAAGGTTTTAGAGTACACTGATGTAGCTGGGAAGGAAAACCAACATGCATTTGGTGTTGTTTACTGACGACTCTCATCTTTGTGAAGAGCTGGGTAATTGGACAATTTGGTCCCTGTTTCTTACCTTTGTGTGAGACAAGTCATGGTGCTTTCTTGTCATGTTTCATATTAATAGATGTGCAGAGTGTCATCAGCAAGCGTGTCAGCACAGAGCGTACGACAGTACAGTGGTGTATGCCATGGACGTAACGGCATCCTCCTTAGGAACGCACAGATGTGCAGACACACACATGCATACGTACACACACACACACACACACACACACAGTGGTGGCCAAAGGCCCAGGCTCCAGTGGACACAGAGATGCTGGATAAAGTTGAGGGGACACACTGCCAGGCAAATCAGTTTCAGGGGAAATAGTGTCATATACTATAACGTTCAGGAACACTAGATGTCCCCCCACGCCACAGCTACCTCGCACAGTTACATGGTGCAACCTAGAAAAAGGCTTTCTCAACTGGCATCTTCCTATCACTGAGGAAAGCACGTTCTTGTCAAATCAGGTACAATTACACTCATTTGCGCCTTTTGAACCGTCATTTCATCGAGAGTCACGATTACTGCTGCGTTGTCGGCAATGTCGCACATTTATCTCAGTGGGACGGGAAGCTGTGCGTCGTGGACGTGAAGAGCCGACTCCCGACTCAGATTGCTCTGGTCCTGCACCCGTTTCAGCGAAAGTTGTTTCCATTTGTTAATGTCTTTCATTTATACCCCATTTGTAACGTGCAGTTTTGTGAGGTTCATGTGAGTAAATTTTGATGCAGCAGCTGCTGTCTGTGTTTTTTAATAGCAATTAGTATACTAATGGCCAAGTGGTTTTCAGTTGTCCCATTATGTTTAGAAATTCAGTTGAGTAATTTCTCTCAGAGTCAAAAGTAATGCTGTAATGAAAATTATGTTGTTAAATAAAAGGAATATTTAAGGCTAAACATTATTATTTTGGGAACAGGTGCCGTGGATTCAGGGTCGTCCTCCTCTTCCTCCTCTTCTAGTTTTGTGAACGGTGCTACCAGCAAAAACCTCCCGGCTGTCCAGACGGTCGCCCCCATGCCGGAAGACTCGGCCGAGAACATGAGGTACCCAGGGCTCTGGGCCCTGTCTCACACTCAGTCACTCGCTCCCTCTCTCTCGCTTGCTCCCTATCCCTCTCTCTCTCTCCCTCCCCTTCCATCTCTCTCCCTCTCCCTCCCTCTCTCTCCCTCTGTCCCTATCTCTGTCTCTCCCCCTCTCTCCCTCTCCCTCTCCCTTTCCCTCTGCCTCTCTCCCTCTCTCTCTCTTTCCCTCTCTCCCTCTCTGTCTCTGTCCCTCTCTCTGTCTCTCCCCCCTCTGTCTGTTCCCCTCTCTGTCTCCTTCCCTCTCTCTCCCTCTGTCCCTATCTCTGTCTCTCCCCCTCTCTCCCTCTCCCTCTCCCTTTCCCTCTGCCTCTCTCCCTCTCTCTCTCTTTCCCTCTCTCCCTCTCTGTCTCTGTCCCTATATCTCTCCGTCTCTCCCCCTCTCTCTCTCTCCCTCTCTCTCTCTCCTTCCCTCTCTCCCTCTGTCTCTGTCCCTATCTTTCTCTGTCTCTCCCCCTCCCTCTCTCTCCCTCTCCCCCTCTCTCTCTCCCTCTGTCCCTCTCTCCCTCCCTCCCTCTCCCTCTGCCCCTCCCTCCCTCTCCCTCTCCCTCTCTCTCCTTCTCTCCCCCCCTTCCCTCTCCCTCTCCCCCCCCTTCTACTCTATGTTAGGGTTTGACTAGCAATTCTTTTTCTTTCCTTTTAAAAATTTAGCTACATCTTTATATTCAAAGCAAGCTTTTCTTAAAAACCATATCCTTGGGCCTTGCTTTTTTTTAATCCCCCTTTAAATCAATTTGATAGTTTCTGTATTTTATTTGGTGCTTCTACACCATTAACATTGAATGTCATTATCAATATGATTAGATTAAAATCTACCATCTTGCTATTAGCAGCAATACATTGCTACGGTGCCTGCTCTGGAAAGTTAATTATGTTAGAGCAATTGAACAAGCAAAATTCCTCATAGATGGTATTTCACGTTGTCCTTGGTGAAGGCTAAGTTAGGGTCTCCGTCAATAGGTGTTCGCCGACACTGGTCACCTTCACAGTGTGGGACAGTTTATGTCCCTCCTGGGCTTTCTGTTCCCATTCATCTAGTATCCCTGCCCCCCGGCCTTCTCATCTTAGTTGGAAAGTAATTGTTGAATTATAATTAATTTTATAGTTACCTTCATTTATACTATTTCTACTACTCCTCATTTCTTTGCATAAATGGCCAGTTTTTGTCTGGTTTCCTATTTCTGCTACGTGAGAAACTTCCTGTACCAAGTGTCTGTGTGCAGGTGGCTACGGCACTGCCCGGAACTTGTTGGCCCGACACAGCCTCACTGCCTTTCCTTCGTGAATTGTTGGGCTCCGTGGGCCTGCGTGTGTGTCGTTTGGGCGGTGGTGTTGTTGCAGCCTTGTTGCTTTGCCTGCTGGCCGGTGTGCCGCCGACGAGAGCACTGCCCTGCTTTGCCACTCTTCCTGTGTCTGTGCTCACTCACTGCTTTCTTCACCTTTTTGGTGGAGGTCTGCTTTCAGGACTTATTAGGATGATGCATCAGGTGTTTCGGTTTTTGCCTGCTCTTTCCTCTCTGTCTCTAACCCTCACAGTGTTGTCTGAGCACCTCACACCCACGGTTTGTGACCTCCAGTTGTGTGGAACACTCTCATTCAGGTCATCACACATTTCTTTAGTCCTGTCCTCCATCTCTTCTTGCACTGGTTTCTACTGCTGCCATAACAAATTAGCACAAGCATCATAGCTCAAAACAACGTCCACTCCTATCTCGCAGTTCCATAGGCTGTAACCAACATAGGCCCCACTGGGTTCAAACCCAGGTTTGGGCAGGGCTGTGTTCCCTATAGGAGTCTCCGGGGGAGAATCTACTTCCAGGTTGGTTCAGGTTGTTGGCAGAATCCAGTTCCATGTGGCTGTCTAACTAATGTCCCTGAATTCTTGCTGGCTGCCAGGCAGGAGTGGCTTAGCCCCTGGAGGCCTTTGCCAGTCCTCTCCCATAGATTACCACACCACACACACACACACACACACACACACACACACACAATTCAGAACCCCAGAGATGTGTCAAGTTCTCCTCGTGTTTGGAATCTCTTTGACCTCCCTTTCTGCAACACCCCCCCC